TAAAGCATCCTCATTCCTCTTCCTTCCAATATTCTTCCATAATTCTAATATTTTTCTCTGAAAAGCAAAACCAGGTCGTAAACCCAGTTGAGCTTTAGACAAAAAGTTTCCAAAAGCAGCAAATATAATGCAAGGAAAGTCATTTTGTAACACAGAAAAACACAAGCACAGTTATACAAGTGTTCTTGTTCCAAGAACAATTGTAAGTGGGTTTTGTTTTGATTTGGAAAAAACTCCAATATCTCAGTGTAGTTGCAGCAGACCACACACTGGAAAAATTACGTGGTTTTCTGGTGGCTGTATAATAAGAAAGGATTTTTCTCTCTGAGACAGAAAAGGCCTATTCAAGGTTGGAAAGGGAGTGTGGCTCGGAAGAATGGAGAATCAGGAAGCTGAGGAGATAGGTCAGAATTGTGTGAGGATGATGTGGTCTCATTTTCTGAACAGCTGCCAGGGAATTAGGAAAGACAGCTTCTCCTTTTTCATGAAAACATAAGGGCTAAAAGCAAAAATCCAATAAATAGCAGGTTTAGGGTGTTTGCTGTTAAGGGTGGCTCCATCCCTGGTGTCTAGCTGGAGATAAGAGGTTTTGCAACACAGACTGGCACAGATAGAAAACAAAGTGGGAGGATAAACACAATGGGCTCTGTGCCACAGGTTTTGTGATGTGCTCACACAGAATCCTGCAGCAAGAGAAGCCATAAATATCTCCAGCATTTATGGATGGACATGCACTCCAGGCTGGAGACAAGTGAACAGCAGATAAAGCACTCACAGAGTCAGGCCCTGACTTCACACTCACAGAGTGAGCCCATTGCAGGAGCTACTTTCCAGGTTATTTTACTGCATTTTACTTCATTGGGAAATCTTGGATGGGCTCCAATGAGTAGATTTTTTTAAAAACATTCTTTTTACCAGTAAAACACAATAAAATATTTTATAGCCTTGATGTGTTTCTGGCACAGTTTAAAAACTGCTGCTAATAAAACTTTACCAAGAGGAAAAAATGACCAAGTTGTCACAATGTAAATATGATTTTTTAATTTTTTTTTTTTTTTTTAATTTGGGGTTTTATGCAGGAAACTGGGAAACAACATCACAGGAAAAGATTATGTTAAGAGAAGAAAACCTATGCAAGCACAACTTAGATTGGAACAGTGTCATGTTCCTGGCAGCTCATGTTAAATGCAATTGGAAAGAATTGTGTTTTCATGCACACCAAGGGCTGGCTCCTCCTGACCCCTGAGTCAGTGACAATTCACCAAGTGATGCCCTAAAGCAGCAGCCTGGCTTATGAATATGGCACCAGGCTAAGCCAGACAAGAGCTCTGAGCTCAGTCCTGGCCTGATCCAAGCTCCCTGTGTGAGATCCATGGAGCTTTTCACACGGAGAGAGGGTTGATCTGTCTGTCTGCTCCCCCTGCCAGCTCTCTGAACAGTCCCAGCCCCTCTTGGCCCTCCAAAGCCTTTGTTCCTGGAGTGTTTTTAGGTGCAATTTTCATTTAACAAGGAATGAGTAATGGCCACCCTTAATCATCACAACTCTGGCACTGTTCAGCGCTCTGGTGACTCTGGTTCACTGCCCTACCCGGTTTTGCAGGAGATAAAATGTGCCAAATGCCAAAAAAAGTGATAAAAACGTCCCTTCAGCACCCAAGTGTGTAAACAGCACTGCCCTCTGTGTGCATCACAGCTGCAGAAGCTGCTGCATTTGGAAGGAACATCACCTCTGCCCCTGAAAATGCTGATATTCCCTGCTCCTGCTGATGTTCCTGCTCTCATTTCAGTGCAACTTTTACTGCTGAGGTCTCTGTAAGATCTCGGAGATCTCTCTTCTGAGAGGCTCTTTAAGAACTGCAATGTTGATATTTATTTTATGCTACCAGGCAACATTCTCAGTCATCAATTTGGCCACGCGAGGGCACCAGCACTGCTCGGGAAAAAAAAAAAAAGACAAAACCGAGTAGCCAAAGGAATAAATAAGAGTTTGTTTACAAACTGTACAGCTGTAAAAGCACAGGATAGCAGGTTCCAGGCAAGAGTCACCCACCCAGAGCATCCAGCAGCTCCAGGGGTGCACAGCAGGGAGGAGGAAATCCCCCACCACCAAAACCCAACAGAGCTGAGCTGCTCCTGCTGCCCTGCCAGGCTCTCCTTGCCCAGAGATCCCTTTCTCAGAGTGGGTGTGGGAAAAGCTCCTACACCTTTGTTGTTTTGGGTGCCCAGAGCCTCACTCAGCCCTGGCTCAGGTCTGTGGCACAGGGGCAGCAGTGACCTCCAGGCTCTTCCCCCTCTCCCTCAGCACAGAAAGGTTTTCTCACTGAGAGCCAGGTGAGCAGAGATGTCTAAAATCACATTTATAGCCCAGCAGGGGTTACCTCGTTTTGTGCCTTTATCTGTGAGAGGAACTGAATATAACTCCTGAAGTAAAAGAAATGAGTTGTAGCTTGAGCTGAACATCCACACTGGGTGAGTTGTTTTCTCCACAAGGACACCACCACAAGGAATTCCTTTAGAGAGAAAAGAATGTGATTTTTTCAAGCCTGCATCTTAATTATCTGATTTTAAATGATGCCATGTAAAAACAAAGGCCTTGGCCTCACCAACTCTCACTGAGTTCTCCCTGCCAAACACCATCCAGGACACAGAGATTTGCATCAAGAGAAAATAATGGAATTCAGAATCCCAGAATACTTTGAGTTGGAAGGGACATTAAAGATTCCCTGATTCCACCCCTGCCATGGCAGGGTCTCCTCCCACCGTCCCAGGCTGCTCCAAGCCCTGTCCAACCTGGCCTTGGGCACTTCCAGGGATCCAGGGGCAGCCACAGCTTCTCTGGGCCCCCTGTGCCAGGGCCTCACCTCCCTCACAGGGATAAACTCCTTCCATCTATCCCACCTAAATTTCCCCTTTCAGTTTGAACCCATCCTTGGCCCATCACTGCAGTTCCTGATGAAAAATATCTACAAACCCCCTGTTCAAGAGCCAGTTCTGTATGAATGTATAGATGAGTGCAAAGCTAATTTTGCTTACAAAGGAAAATCCTCATTGCTAACAGATCCTGTGGTTAAGCTAAAGCTTGTCCTGCAGCATTGACTGTGGATACAAAAGGATTGTTCTTTTTTGTTTTGACTGTAAGTGAACAAAATGCTGTTTGCAACTAGATGTTTCTCCCGAGGTTTTTGTGATAGCCTGGATTAATTCCATGCAATTATTCTGGGAAAGTAAATTTATTCTGAATGCCCTGGTAGGTTTGTGGCAGTTCAGAGGAATCTCCCAGATAGGACACATCTGTTGTGAAGAACACCAGGTAAGGCAGGAATGGGGGAAATTAAAATAACTCCAGCTACAATCAGGGCAGAAGGGATCACAGCTGCCAGACAATAAGGGGGCAAAAAGTTTTACAGGATCATCTTAACAATCTGAGCTCATTAAACCTTTTTGCACTATTTGAAAAGCTGTTTCTTCTACTGTGTTTGTCAGAAAATCAGAGCAATGATGAGTTCCAAAATGCACATATGAATTTGAAAAGTGTTTGATTGAATATTCCACAGCAGACTGTGCATAAGATGGTTTTATTCAATACAGGGTGCTGTAAAATCCTAAAGTATTTTATTCTGCTTGAGCACTTCTTGAGGTACTGAAATTATTTCTAATTCTACTACTAAGAATAATCACACCAAAAGTGGAAAATCTATTTTTTGTTGTTGTTGTTACCTCTAACTCCAACTGAGCTCCTTGCAGCACTCTGTAGAACCCACAGCCCTGGGGCAGTGCCTCAGCTGCAGAAACATGGACAGACCCCGTGGAACATTTCCTGCTCTCCTGGCTCCTTTTCCTGGGACTGTTGGTCAGTGCTAATGAGAAGAGGAAGAGCAATGCTAAATTTAAATTTACTGACTGAGCCAGAGACCTACTGGCAATGTCTAAGTTCAAATCACATGTATTTGCAACCTTTTATATTCAAAATAAAAGCAATTCTAGAGTATTTAGACCTGATTTAAAATGTCTGTAGTCTGCTACAAGCTTTTTTTTTACTCTGTAATCTAAATGCTCCAATTTGGAACTCCAAGGTGAAGATATTTTAAATCCAGGACTAAAACCTTTAATGCTGAAGTAGTTACATTTTCCCAAGGCAGCTGTGCAGTTCCTGTGTTAATTAGGAGATATGGGATTATCATTAATAAACAGAGGAACAAGAGGTCTCTGAGGCTGTACATTTATTACATGTTCTCAAAAGGAGTCAGTCCTTTGCCTTTTGTTTTTTGCCAAATTTGGGGGTTCATTCTGGTCAGGAACCAACCTGCAAAGCAGCTCAGGTATTCGAATGCAAAACATGATTATTTTAAATATTCTGCTTTTCCTCATGGTCCAGCCCCATCTTCAGATTCACCAACAGATGCTCAGGAATGTAAAACATCTTTTGGGGATTATCCATTTGGGGAAAACAGTGCTTTTCTGAAAAGCCCTCCTGAAACTTTATTTAACTCAGCTAAAATGTCTCTCTAATAGTTCAACTTGATGTCACAGTTTAAAATTGATGCTGAGACTGGATAAAAAGGACCACATCAAGATAAAAGCTGCAATTAATTAAAACTGCAATAATTGCAAGTTTTAGTTTTCCTTTTCAAATTCCACAGGGCTTGTTGCCATGACAGGCGGGAAGATGCTACCAGCATAATCACTTCTTTCTTCTCATGTTTAGAAGGTTTTACTTTACTTTGTGGGACAGTTTGAAATTCAGAACAAAATAGGTACCAACAAAGAGATCTTTAGGATACAGATAAGTAACAGAAAATATGTGGCTTCTAATAATTATAATTTTGCACCTCAATCTTCCCTCATTTTCCCCACCCTGGCAGAAGTTGAACTGCTCCTTCCACTCAGCCCAAGCTTTCAATTACAGTTCCCACTCAGCAGAAAAAAAATCAGCTTTTCCCTTTTGAGCCAGCCCTTTTGGAGCAGCAGCTGACAGAGCTCTTGTATTTTCCCTGGCAGGGATGAGGAGGGACATCCTGAGGTGCTGGGCTGTGCTCGTGGCACTGACGGGACCGAGCGCGGCTGAGGATTTCCCATGGACCAAGAACAATCCAGGCTCCTTCTACTACGGCACTTTTCCAGCTGGTACCTGCCAACCCCACTGCTTTGGGGGATGGAATGTTCCAGATCTGCTCCTGGGTTTGCACAAGGGAGTGACCCAAAGGTTTTCCTTGTCCCTCCAGGAAAATGGCAGGAACAGAAATGGAGAATGCAGGAATGTTTAGGGATCTGCTCCTGGGAATACAGGGATCCACATGAGCCTGCACTCCATGGATCCACTTAGACAGGAAATACAGAGGAAAGGCTCACAGCTTAATAGTTCATATCCACAACTCCCTGGTTAAAATGCAGTGTAAAAAGTCACACCTGAAAACCCTTCTCCTTTTTTATAAATTACCTACAATTAATGAAATAAACTAAAATACCCTTTGTTATGCAGCTAATTTAAGAAATTAGTGTAATAACTGTGCTGGGTTTGTTTCAAGCTGTTCAGTATCATCCAACCCACTCTTCTGTATGGAATTATGAAACTTATCCTTTCTTCAACACATATTTAAACACATTTCATCCCAGCAAAATCAAAACTAGAAAGATGCAGGTTCATGCTCAAGTTTTTATCTCATTTATGATATGGTATTTTGTGTAACAATAGGAAAATAATCCAGAATATTTCTTTATATTTTACTTAACATCTAAGATTGTAGTTGCTAAAACTACCATGAAAACCAAACTTCCAGCAGGAAGAAATGATGTGGAAACATAATTTGTTTTTTACAGTAAGACATTTCTGCCATGCTATCAATGCCCTACCTCACTGTAAAACACAGATTTCACAGGTTTAATAAACGAAAGGATTCATTTCCTTTTTCAGTGCATTAGAACAGGACACCTTCAATTTATTACCCATTTTCAGACCTATTTAGGCACAGATACATTTTGAAATGTAGAAAACCTCACCTCTCCAGCAGCGCTTACTTTCAGTTCCTTTCTCCTATGAACATTTAGCACCAATCAGCAGGAAGATATTTCAATAACTCCCCTGTTTTTACCTTCAGGTTTCCTGTGGGGTGTTGGAAGTTCTGCCTACCAGACCGAAGGGGCCTGGGACAAGGATGGGAAAGGACCGAGCATCTGGGATGTTTTCACTCACAGGAAAGGGAAAGTGGTCAGGAATGAGACGGGAGATTCCGCCTGTGATGGCTACTACAAAGTCAAGGTATTGTTCAAGAGGAATTCATTCCTTGCTCTTGGATTCCTATTTTGAAGGAATAAATAAGGGCTTATTTAAATAATAAGCTCTAAGGGCTTATTGAACTTAGGGCTGACATTTTTAATCAGTAAAATCTTTCCTTATAATCTCATAGGAACAATAATCCCACGGTGTTTCCCAAATACATCTCAGCTTTACAGGATTTCTGTGCCTAAAAAATATTCTAGATGTTGTAGGAAGTCCAAATGCTTAGTTAGAAATACAATAAAGATATTTGAGCTTTAAATAAAATTAACTTTTTGGGTGTGTGTGCATGTATGAGGTTTTCTATGTATTTTTAAGAGGGTTTAAAATTCAGTCTGGATATTCCCCATTTTTTGAAAGTATAACAAACAAATAATCAATGAAGCTCTGTTCACAACATCTTTCCAAGCCTAATACCATCAAAACCAATTCTGAAATTACTGTGCTGGAGGAAAGACAGATACACAGCAAGAGGAATCCAAATGACTGTGAGAAGCCAGGGTTACATAATTGGAATTGCAACTAATTTAATAAAAGCTGTATTCCACTGAGGTTTCTCCACATACATGAAGTCCAAGGGAGAACCAAAGGTCTCAGCAAGAACTAGAAGGAAAAAAAAAACTAATTATGTCTTTCCTAAAATGGGAAAATGCAGGAGAGGTTTCTCAAACCAGCAAAAGTTTGAAAGAACAGCTTAAAAAGTATCCTAGAGAAGTTGGATCTCTGAGCCTCACTGGGCTGTGGCACCAGAAGAGATTGATGCAGAGACAATTTGGATTTGTACTTAAAAATACTTTCTAAAACTTGCTTGTATTTGTCCAGTTACCTGGTCCTCTTTATATCAGAGCATTCCTTGCTTTCATCATCAGAATTCTCTTTGCATTGGCACAAATACCACCAATTCCTAATTTCATTGAACACTGAAGATGTAAAATTTCTTAGCAAAAGAACATATATGGGATTTAGGGGGTTTTCTCATTCCAGTGTAAGATAGTAAAGGAAAATCCAAGTAATTACGTTTTTGAGCCTGAGCTGAAATGTTTGAGGTCAAGATTTACAGGCTTCTATTATTTTCTAATACAAATTCTGACATAATCATAATTGTGTTGCAAAACCTCAGCTCATTTTTCTGTAGTGCAAACATTGTCTCCACCGTTACACAAAACATTACAGGACTTCTTTGTACTGTCAAGAAAAAGTGGTTAAAGAGAAAGGCTTCAAGTAGAACGAGCCATCACCTCAAAGATAAGAAAAAAACCCGGATGGAATCCTCTTTTGTGCAAATCTTCCACAGATTTTCTGCATTCTTTAAGAATTATTTAAGCCAGATGAGGAACTGAAGTTATTCTGCTCAGCCTCGGGATGTGTTAATTGGATTTTCTTCTCACAGGATGATATTCAGTTACTGAAGGAGCTGAAGGTGAATCACTACGTCTTGTCCATCTCATGGCCAAGGATTATGCCCACAGGCATCAAAGGTAAGCACAATTTCACCACACTCTTCCCAATATTCTTATCTGTGAGGAATTTTACTCCTGAGTAACCCACACAGTTGTTCAACATTCCTGTTAAACAGATTTCTGTTTGTCTGCATTTATCCATTACAGAATTCCCAAGACTGGAATGTAAAATTCCTTGTTTAATATTTCTAGATTTCTGTTCTTCCAGTTATTTGGGAACTAATGCAGGTAATTCCTTGTCTGTGCTTTTCATCAGCTGAGCAACTGAATGAGAAGGGAATACAGTTCTACAATGACACAATTAACAGTCTTCTGGAAAACAACATCACCCCTATTGTGAGCCTCTACCACTGGGATCTGCCACAGGTCAGACAATATTTAAATTACTGAGACACCTCAAATAAAGTTTTCTGATAGAAATATTTTCCTAAGGTTAAGAACTAAGAGTACTTAAAAAAATTAGAGAAGCTTGCATGATTTTAAGAACTTGTAAATATTTCCTATTCGTCTGAATTTTATGTGCCTTGAAGTTTTGAAAAATCTTTCTGAGCTAGAAATACAAACGGAATTAAACAGAAATAAAAGTCTTTTTTAAGCAGCAGCTGACCTTCAAGTACAATTATTGAATCTTGAAATTCTTATTTCCAAAGGTTCTTCAAGAAAAGTATGGTGGCTGGCAGAATATAAGCATGATTAATTATTTTAATGATTATGCAAATCTGTGTTTTGAGAAGTTTGGTGACCGTGTGAAACACTGGATTACGTTCAGCAATCCTTGGGTAAGTCATCGATGCTTCCCTTCCAAACACTCCCATTGCACTGTTCTGTTCCCAAAATTCTGTGGAAGTGACACTAGAGGACAGGAGGTGAAAAAAATGGAGGAGAAGGAAGGGGAGAGATTTAAACCATCAATCTTTGTGGCCAAAAAACTCAGCAGGCAGATTTTGCACAAGGGCAGAGTTTTAAGACATGAAATTCCAGGAAAATTTTGAAAACCCTGGAGAGACACCAGGAATTGGAAAGGCAGCTGCTATTTACCCTTCCCCATTCCTCAGCTCACCTAACCCTCCTCACCAACACCCTGCTCCCAGTAAGCCACAGCTCGGTACCAAAGCGGCAGCAGGGCAGGAAATGGGAGCCAAGGAAGGGAAAAGGGGATTGGGGAGGGGCAGCCCAGGCAGGAGAGCACAGGATCCAGAGGATGGAGCACATCCCCTGGCTCTGGAGCCCAGGGAAGAACTGACTCCGTGTGTTTGCAGGCAGTGGCTGAAAAGGGCTATGAGACGGGAGAACACGCACCAGGACTGAAGCTCGGCAGCTGCGGCGCCTACAAGGCTGCTCATCACATCATTAAAGTAAAAAACCTCCTGAAACTGTGCTTGAAATTATGTCTCAATTAAGGATTTTTATCAGATTTCACTCCTTAAACAGAAATAGTTTCACAGCCATGTAATTTCCAAGTAGGACACCGAAATTATAATCTGGTTTTAAACCTCCAGTGCATAATCCAAGGCACTACCAATGTTCGGCACTTGATTTAACACTTGTAACAATCTGATTTTTCCTTATATTATAAATGTCTCTTATAGTTTGTTTCAAGCTGGTTGAAAAAGAAAACATCCAAGTTAGTCTAGAAACAAGAAGTAATCCTGGCCTGTGGAAATGAACCTGAATGTTGCAAGTGACTTCAGGAAGTCTGGTAAAAATTAACTTTTCATATGCCTGAATAAATTAGGGAAAGACATCCAAAGATCAGAGCCATGGGACAGAATCCTGTCCTGAGGGCTGTGTGTCAGCTCCATGTGGATGTCCTGGAATTTAGGGAAGGAATCCTGCATAAAGGCTTTTGTGATGTCTTACATGAAATGCAAGTTTCTATAATAAATACAAAAGAAATTCTGTGATATTTTCAGACAGACTTCAGTGCGGAAAGTTCCACCAGCTTTCCATGGCATAAGAGATGAAAATGTGAATGATTTATTCTATTTTTACATTATTTTCAGACTCATGCCAAGGTCTGGCACTCCTACAACAACACCTGGCGCAGGGAGCAGAGAGGTAATCAGGATTCATTCTGTGATTGTGCTGCTGTTTCTGTTAAGGGCTTAAAGAACTGCAGAACTGTCCCTTTGTTTTAAGGGATGGTTGGAATTTCCCTAACGAGTGGCTGGGGGGAACCTGTTGATCCACACAGTCAAACAGACAGAGATGCTGCTGAAAGGTACATCCAGTTCCACCTGGGATGGTTTGCAAACCCCATTTACAGAGGGGACTACCCAGAAGTCATGAAGAATTATGTAGGTAAGTCCCAGTAACACGGACATGAACAGATCCACACTTCCAGCAGGGAATAACTCCTGGCCAATGTGGGCTTTAATCAAGTGAGGGCACAGGCGACACACGGCAAAGCAACCAAAGGCCCCTGGGCTGAACACAGCTCCTAAAGCAGTTTGGGAACACACCAGGATAGTTTAGATCACTGTTTCTCCATGTATGGTACCAAACTTAATTCTCCAAACCAAAGGATGAAAGATTATCTCATCATAAAAAAAACCAGTTAAGCTCAGGTGTCCTTGACATTAACACCAAATTCAGGAAAACCATATTTGGCCCCAGCACAGGTGCCCAGGGCAGCTGTGGCTGCTCCTGAATCCCTGGAAGTGCCCAAGGCCAGGCTGGACATTGGGGCTTAGGGCACCCTGGGATGGTGGAAGGTGTCCCTGCCCATGGCAGGGGTGAGGTGATGATTTTAAAGGTCCCTTCCAACCCAAACCATGGAGGATTTTATGATTCTTTGATTTATTGTTGGAGATATAAAGAAAACCAATTGCCATGCTCCTCAGAAGTTGTTTCCTATAATTATTTTGCTAGGTAGGAAGAGTGCCCAGCAGGGCCTGGGGACATCAAGATTACCAACTTTCTCAGTGCAAGAGAAAACCTATATTAAAGGCACCTCGGATTTCCTGGGAATTGGTCATTTTACCACTCGTTATGTTCTGCAGAAGAACTTTCCCTTCCTCCAAGTGTCCAGTTACCACACTGACCGTGACCTGGCTGAACTGGTGGACCCCAACTGGCCAGCTCCAGGCCCCAAGTGGCTCTACTCTGTGCCCTGGGGGTTCAGGAGGTTGCTCAACTTCGTTAAGGTGAGTAGAGAGGTTCTTTAATTAGAAAGGAAGAAAATGCCTGGTTTAGATTTAGATTTTCAACAGTTCCAGCTATTGATCTTGTCATAGTGGGAACTTTCTTTGTCAAAAAAACCCTTAATTACAGAATTCAGTCATTTTAAAATAAACCCCATAGTTAACCTAAATTCCTACTACACATTTTTCTTACTTAGGTAAGTAAATGTAGAAAATTGTTAATTAATGCACTTTGCTAATTCACATATTCTGTCAAAATAAAATGATTTTATGTGAACCAATTTAAACATTTCTGTTTGCAGACCCAGTATGGGAACCCCCTGATTTATGTGACAGAGAATGGAGTGTCTGAAACAGTGCAGTGCCCTCAGCTGTGTGATGAGTGGAGGATCCAGTACCTGAAGGGATACATCAACGAGATACTCAAAGGTCACTTAAAAACAGCTTTATAGGATTTGACTTTTGGAGTGTTTTCACCTTCTGCTTATTTTTTTTTTGTCATTTCCATCACAGAGAAATTATTTACAAGTCAAAAAGGACAGCAAACCAGACTCATAAATTTTCACCAAAATGACAACCTAAGCAAAAATATCAATACTAATAAATACAATAACCTACCTGAGATTCAATACTGCAATAAATCGTCGGTTTCCACTTTCAGAAAGCAGAAATTGCTATGCCCATAGAACTCTAGTACCTTTAAGCTAAAGACAACAGTTTCAGAGGATCTAAGTTAAATTAATTTGTACTTCATTTTTCTGCCCTCCTCCCCATCTCTTCCTGCTATAAACCAAAACATTTACAGAGCCATATTTTAAGGACAAAACTTTTATCAGTGATTTGTGTTCTTTTTCCCAGCTCTAAATGATGGTGTAAATGTCAAAGGTTATACTGCCTGGTCACTGCTGGATAAATTTGAATGGAACAAAGGCTTCTCCGAAAGATTTGGGCTTTACCACATTGACTTCAAAAACAAGAACAAACCACGGTACCCAAAGGCATCTGTTGATTACTATAAAAAGATTATCAGTGCAAATGGATTCCCAAATCCAAGAGAGGTAATGTCAGCTGCTAAATTTGATCTTTTTTTTTTCCTTTTTCTTTGATTTATGTGCCAATATCACATTGAATTTCAGGAAACAACTCGTATGAATATGGTACAGATGGGACACTTTGGTTCTGTACATTAGGGATCTGTTTAATACAGAGATATTCAGATACTGAAAGCGGGAACAGCCTCAATTACTGTTCCTAAAGCATCCCACAGACTCCAACTGGACATACTGATGCAGTCAAAAATTCTCCATCAGAAGTTATTTAGCAGTGCTGTCAGATTCCCAGGCAGAAAACTCCAAGTATGTACTACCCTACTGGAAAATTACCTGGAATGCATTATGTGCTGTTAAAAATTTTATTAAACAATTAACTCGGAGAAATGCACTGAAATGAAAACCACAAAGCCACAAAGAAACTTGCAGAAAATTGTGAGTTGGTAGAATTAGGTAATTTCAAGTTCATTGTAGGGACAAGGGTTGAGGGGCAGGGAGGGAGCTGTGGAAGTGAGGAGGATGCTCACAGAACTGTCACCCCTTCCCAGGTGGAAAACTGGCATCGGAAGGCCATGGACAGCTGCTCTGCCACACACCAACACCTTGCTGCAGGTAATGATGGTTCTGTTTTGCTCTATAAAGGCAGATTCTCTAAAGTTCAGATATTACATTGCTCCTTGAATTCTGTTAAAAGGTATTTTCTCCACAAAAGCACAAGAAAAATGTCTTCACTTACTGTCTCCAACTAAAATCACTGTAGCTAAATGGATTAGCTCTGGATGTTACTGAAATACAGGAACTGGAAGAGCTACTACTTAAAATTGAAGTTGGGGATGGCAGCATTCTCCTCAAAATAAAACTGTTAAATGCTTTTTCAAACACAAACCAAAGCCAGACAAATCAAGACAACCACACAGACAGAAAATCTCTAAATGTTTTACTTTTACATAAAGTGGAACTATAAAAATAAATAGAAGGGCTAAGGAGTGGCCTAAGATTAAGTTAGGGCTCTGATGCTCCTGGTAAACAAAGAAAATCCAACACAACTGATCCAGAACACCTAAAAAACCTCCTGGTGTAACTCAGGACCTTTCAGCATGACCGAAGAAGGAATTTTTTAAGAAAGAGAAAATAACTACTACAGATTCTTACAAGAGGATGAGCTAAATTCCACCTGGTAGGAAACATCCCAGCATCAGCCTGAGCTGATCCTGCTCAGCCTCCACTTCCAAGTCATGCTCAGTGTCAATAAACTGGGTTTACTGAACTCTTCCAGGCTTCTCTCGGAAATAGAGTTCAACAAAGTAAGACCCATTTAATTTTTCAAACAGATACAGAGCAATCATAAAAAGGCCAAAGCTTCCCAAGGATTTCTCTTTGACACTTTTCTTTCACCTTGGGGTGAGGGGAATAAAATTCAAAGGACCAGTAAAATATTTGTAATGCACTGCAGCTAATTCATAGCAAAGACGATTCTTGCAGCCCTTTGAGCACTGACATGTGTTCAGAAATTTAACTTAAAAAGGAAAATAGAAGAAAAACTATAATGGATTTGCTCCAGCTTCAGCAGACTTAGGAAATTCTGTTTGCTTTGTTTGCTGTTTATGCCAACGTCAACATTTTTATGTTCCAAAAAACCTTTATGTTTACTCTAAGTTAGGTATTACTGTACTCCAGAGGATTAAATCTCTTACATATTCCTCATGTCTCAAATTTTAGATTCCCTGATTACTCACATGGAAATGGTGACAGAGATTGTTCTTCCTACAGTTTTCACACTCTGCATTCTCATCAGTATTGTCCTCCTCATATTCTACCTTCGAAACCACAGCTAAAATTGATGTTTGCACACATCTTCATTTGCCAAAAGGACTAAGCTGCAACTGTTTTATTTGAGTGGCTAAAATTTACCACAGATTCCTCTTTTTATACCCCTGTAATGAAATATTATTTACCAATCCACCTAGAGCTTTTATAATTTTTCTATTCAACTCCCAAAACATCTTTTCACCAAATACATTCTCTTTCCATTGAGTCTAAGCAGTAGATTTTACAATCCTAATTATTTTGGAAACTAATACACATTTTGTTCACCAGAGAAATAGTTAAGAGTAAAGTGATTCAAATCTTGCCAGTACAAATTTCAAGTGATTAAAAGCTGCTTGCAAATTCTGATTTCAGTCTGTTCATCAACAGCATTTTGATTACCATGTAATTGCTATTTGAAGAAAGACAGACACATGATTTTAAAATATAAAAGGACTTAAATATTCCAAGAGCACTGCTTAAATATGAACTTATTCATGTCTAAAAGTTAGGAGAATATATACCTTGCTATTTAGGTGTGGAGAGTTGTTTGAAGTGAATAACCCAAGGTGACAACTTCTGAATCAGATTTCAACCACATCTTTGCAGTTTGGTTTACAGGAACCAGACTTACCTTACACAACTTTATAATATATTATACACAAAAATGTGGATTTTAAATAGTCCAAGCACTTCCCAAATTAATATTTCACCTTAAATCCCCTTCTACTGCAGGTAGAAACAAGTACTATAAAAACTTGGTTCCACAATTCACCTGGCTGTACTAGAAATACAGCTTCCTGTGCTTGAAACCAGAAGTTATAAAAATTTACAATAACCATCTGTAATTTATAGATTATATCATTAAAAGTATATGCTTTTAAAAGCATGAATATTGGGTGTTTTTCTTATTCTTACTTACCCATAGTTAACTTTTTAATGCAAAAATATTTCTGTCTCATATTATTTGGTCAGCATGCACAACCCTATGGAATTGTTTAAATCAGACCACCAAAATGTTACCTCACTGATTAATCAACAGAACACATGCAACTGCCAACATATTTAAATTATTATGTCCAGCCAATTATACTGATTTTGTTTTTCAAAAAATTATGCAAAACATACAAGACCACACTGTTAAAATAACTCACTTCACATTGAAGGAATAAAATGATTTGAAGAGGAGAGGTATTTCCAAGAATACTCCAAAATATAAATACAGGGACAAAGAAACCCAAACTGGATGAAGATCCCAAGGCCCTGGATGAAGAGGTTTCCAAATACTTCAGGATAATGAAGCATCACTTGATTCCAGGAGAACTTTATTCTTATTTCTACTTTCAAACAATATTGCTTGGTTTGTTGGTTAAGATAACTCACACTTTGAACAGTGTCTGATTGCATTTTTAATGATCAAAAAAATAAAATATGAAACCCCAAAGGGCACAACTTTGTTGAATGTCTGCAAATATATGAAAATACCCACCATATTTACAAAATATTTATACTGTATAATCATAATTGCACTGCATTTTTAACAAATGAGGTGCCTACAGGTGAATTGTGGCTGTGGAGGCCCCACTTAAGTGTAATAAAGCAAATAAATCAGTGAAAATGAACTGTTTGAAGCCCAGAGTGTTTCTAAAAGTTCTGTTGGGACAGAAAACACTGAAATTTCCACCTTTCTGTACCTTTCCAGTCCTGCCTGTTCAGTAACATCAACTTAAGTGAACTGCACCTGACTGCACTGAGTCATGGTAATAAAATACAGCCTTTCTTCACTGCTTCCATTTACTGCAGAGTCAGAAAAGAAACCTGCAAGGACAAAGGGAAAAGCAGGGATTAGCCACTCTTGTTAGAAGGTGAAGATTAGTTCATGGAGCAGCTTTCAGAACTGTTTTCAAAGTGCAGTTTTACTGAAGTACTTAATGACAAAAATCAATAATGACAGGAAAGATTTACCAAATCCTCACATCAAACCTCATCCCAAAAAGGCAAATCATTTCTGCACCAGTCCCCCCCTGCTTAATTCTTCCCCATTCTGATGCTTTTCCACTTGTTCTACATTTGCTTGCAGCAAGACAGATCTTCTCCCCCCTTTGCACCTTTCTCTGACTTGAGACCAGCATTAACAACAGGGAAATTTCTCTTTCAAAACTCTTCTCAGATTCATTGGCAAACATTTTAGAAATAAGGTACAAGATTTTTTGGGTATCAGTCATCTCATATTTGGAACTATTTTGTCATTTGAACTCTAAAAACATAACTCAGCCAAGGTAAGAAGGCAAGAAAGTCACTACCTTCTGAATATCCTTAATTCTGTAAATACCACCTCACTCTTTTGGTAGAAAGTAAAATATCATTTTGCTTTGCTAAAAAGTAAATATAAAGCTCAGACCCACTGAACTCAGGATAAAAACTGAATTTGTTTGAAGTTTGTACTTTGATTATTTCATTTCACCAGCAACATTCCCCACCTGAATTGTCTGATGTCCCATGTTCAACTGGAGCATTGGTACTGACTTGCCATGTTGTTTTAACCTCCTTCTGTCCATGCCCACTACTTATCTCCACCTTCCAGACTTCTGGATTATCACTGAGAGAATAATCAAAAAACATTAAAATTGAGTCAGGTATTCAGTCCCATCTGAATTTTATGCTGCAAACTCTCAAGTTTCTCTTACTTTTGATAGAATTTCTTCACAAGAGCTGGTCTGATGGGCAGCTGAAACACATGCTTCTCATCCAGAGGGTTCTCCTTGTAATACTTCATGCAAATCCTACAAGAGATATCAGGTTACTTTATTTAAAGAAATGCTTGTACAACAGAACATCAGCTTGTGTAAAATTAACTGTATTCTCACATTTTATTATTTCCTTTAGTTTTCAGTTTTAGTCCCAAAGCAAAATTTGGCAGGAAGATCCAGCTGCTCCTTCTGCAGTTTCACTATCACCAACATTAAGGTGTTTCTTTAAAACTGTCAAGCAAACTCTATTTGTGATTGTAATTTAAAGAGCAAAAGTAAAAATGAAATAATTACTGTGTCAAAGGGAAGAGGTTCTCATGTCTGAACTGCAGTAAGCCTGTACAGCTGACCATTATTTCCAGCATATGGTGAAGCTTTTGAACACGGTGGACTTGTTCCTGGAGATCCACTGATGTGGAGGTGAAGTAATCCTGGTAGAGAAAAGAGCTTTTGCTCTTACCTGAGCTCTCCACTGCTACAGACACACAACACGCCCTCAGTAAATAAAATCATCTTCCTGCTTCTTTGGAGATTTTTAGAGTGGCCCAGCAGACTCAGACCAAAGCCTTATCAAAGTGTAACAAAGGTTCACTGCCTTAGCAGTGACCCAAATCAGATATCAAGGGAATTATCTGGGAATAAGGAAACAAAACAATGACATTTCTGCAGTGTGTTGTTCCAGCCTCATGATCTGCAGTTCAGTTTCTCAGCTTTTATGATTTGCATCCCACCATCAGCTAAGAATGTTCTGCTTTAGAAAATAAAAATAAAGCATCTCACCAAGTAGGTTGCTGTTGCAAGCTCCTGGCCTGTAAAAGGAACAGCAGGAAAAAAATTAAAATTTAATATGTGGTATCAGATGAAATATAAGCAACATTCAGATGATCAAACAGCAAATTCTACTGAAGCACAAAGTCAGCAGGAGTGTGATGTTATTTATTGACACAATCATTCATTCCAAACAAGAAAAACCCTCTAACGTGGTATGGTCAAGGCATGATTTTATTTTTCACCAAGGCTGCACGATGAAGAAATCCACCATGTACTTGGAGACAGCCACCCTCCTCAGGATACACAAGCTTACAAAAGTAGTGAAAATAAAAAAGCAAATACATGAAGAATGAAAACAGGATGACAGATGCCAAAAAGAAATGAAGATGTAACCACAGCAGTAAAACACAAAGCTATACTTCTTTTGAAACAACTAAGTTTTTAAAATTTTGAAATTTAAAAGCTGGAAATTTCCATTACTCAGGAAGCTGGAAACTGCACTTCAGCAGATGGGAAGGCAGAGAGATGGAGGTTACCCAAAAAGTTCATTATTTCCTGCATGGAACACCTTTTCTCCTGAATTCCTAATGCTGTTACCAAGTGCCAGGCTCACCTATGAAAAAACTGACATAATCCTTCTTCATCTTCTCCAAGCCAATCTCCAGAAGCATCTGAATGGGAGTGATGTCACTGAGGGAAACATCCTCCATCTTTCCATGGTAGGACTGTTGGATCAATTGACTTAAAAAACTGCTGCTCCCTTGATGAATCTGAAAATAAAGCAGTCATTTTGTGATGACACTGCATGAAATATCATCAATGTTGTTCAGAAGTTCAACACCAGGGAAACACAATTTAAAAACAGCACAAGTGAGGTCAGAGAAGGGACAGGAACTGCATTTTACTTGAAACTATCCCAAATTTTAGCATCTCTTGTGAAATACAAATACATACCCATGGCTGTATCTCACCATGTTCCAGGGATTTTATGACCAGTGTGAAACAGTCTATTAATTCCTGATAGGAACTGACACCTGGAAAGAAAAACACAGTATTTTAATTATCAATCCAGGCTCTTTCTCTGGTTGTTAAGTCAATAACAACAGGCCAACACACCCTTGCACAAACAAAACCCCTCAAATTAAAGAAATTACAGACTGCAAAGGTTTTTGGTAGCTTTGTCACATGATGACTTTAAATAAGGTTACTCTAAAAAAACAATCATCAACAGAGGTCACTGAACTCTACATATACTGAAAACTGTCCTTCAGATCTAGAGAAAAAGGAATTATAAAGTTTTCAGTTTTAGAGCAGATAGGTTTTAGCCTTAAAGCAACTACCAATAGTCTAGTGCCTTCTGCAGTCAAATAAAATGAAATTATCTTCCTGCTGGTCTGCCATTGGAAGGTTGTAAGAAAAGACATCATCCTGCATCCCTAAAATGGGCTCTTTTCTAGGAAGAGACTGCTGATACCAATTTCCTGAAGAGCTGATGAGTCCTTAAAACT